TTGTTGATTGTTTGTTCATTAAAGTGGGATGGCAACTACCCTCATCTCGGCACAAATGTGTTCAAACCCCATTACAGGCTACATCACCTTCCTGATTACAACAGTATATAGGATGTTCCTGTTTCGTCCATTAAGCATAAATGATACTGTATATAGTTACTCCCAAAGGTCCCTTCACCTCCTTTACGTTTCTTCTTTACATGATATTGCCTGCCATTAGGACTCTCGGCTTCCATACCCACCTCTCACGGCTGTCATCACTGAGCAAAATACCCGATTAGTCACAGAAACTTGGGCTACTGCTGCGACGTTGCCACATCTTGACGGAACGCACACTGGGCAACTGTTCCACCAGCTGATAAGACTGAAAAAGACCCCGTGACTAATTGAGGGAAGGATGAGTGAGGGATGTACTTATTGATAACGGATTGCGCTATATAAATCATGATAAGCCACAGACACATGTCTATTTCGGATTTGTATCATGTAATTTCCTATGGATATGAAAAATGGCTTAGTCATCGCACGCAAGCCAGATTGCCACATTAATTTTCATTCATAAGCGATGCGTTCATTTCATTTGGTAATTCGTGCAACAAGTTTTAATTAATAGACAAATATTATAGACTTTACAACCGGTGAAAATGAAAATGAAAATGTATTGTACAAACAATTAAAAAAATATAGTAAATATATATGTATATATAGTTATATATTATATATGTATATATATATGTATATATATATGTATATATATATATATATACATATACACACACGGACTCATTTATATAATAATGATAATCATCATCATCATCATTATTACCATCATTATTATTATTACTATTATCGTTATCATAATCATCATCATCTCTTATTGGTATTATCATTATCATTCTTCATCTTCGAGGCAAGTACATAGCACTGATGTAGACTGAGATTTTGTACATTTATTATTTATATAACCATCCGAGGGGGGGGGGGTAAGAGGGACGGCAGAAGAGGAACGGAAAAATAATCGGGAGAAGAAAGAAAAGGAGAAAAAGGAGGAAGAAGGGAGGGAAGGGGAAGGGGAAAGATAGAAAAGATGAGGAGGGGATGAGACTTAAAGAGAAAAGGGAGATAAATATCAAGAAAGATAGAAAAAAGGATGATGGGAGGGGGAGGGAAGGAAGAAGAAGCGAAGGAAGAAGGAATTTAAGGAAGATTTAGGAGTGAGGAGGTGTAAGAGAGGGAAAGGGAAAGGTAAAGGGAGAGGGAAAGGCGGGGAGAGAGAAGGAAAAAGAGAGGGAGAGGGGAAGGAAATAGAGAGATAAGAGGCGAGAAATAAAAGGAAGATGGTGAAAAGAGAAAGGAGGGAAAAGTACGTTATTTTTGTTCCTTTGTAATTCCAGAGTACCCGCTAATTATTGTTATATTATTAATACCAATGATTATTTTCATTACTGTTACTACTATTGTTATCATTATCGTTATAATCCTCCTTTCTATTATCATTGTCATTATTATCTTTATTATCATTATCATTATCCTCGTTTTTATGATAATTATTGCTATCAATTTTCAGTATCATGTCGTTTTTGATTTTATAATATTATCATTTTATATTACATTGTTATTATTATTATTGTTATTATCATTATTATTATCATCACTATTATTATTGTTGTTGATATCATTATTATCATTATCACGCATTATTGCTATTATGATTATGATTATCATTATTACTATCATCATTACTATTGTTATTACTTTCACTACCATTATCCTCCTCCTCATCACCATTATCTCCATTATTAGCAGAACCGGAACCAGTCACAAAATAAGCTGTGTAAGGGACTCCAGAACCTTATAGAATATACACCTTGTAATGGCCACTACAGCCCGTCATCTACAGAAAGGTATACGAAGGGTCACGGGAATTCTACGACCAACTTACGCACAACCATATAACCAAGGGTAATTCATATTAAAAAAAAAGAAAAAAGAAAAAAAGAAAGGAAAAGAGAAAATTGTGAATGGGATCATTAATGTACAGAAGGAGAGGTATGAATGGGCACTGATGAATCTTAAAGTACGCGAAGGAATAGGTATGAATGAGAGCAAATGATTTTTTAAAAATACGTAAAGGATTCATCATCAACATCATGATGGTGATGATAATGATGACGATAAAGCTAATGATGATTATATTATTGTTATATACTATATATTATTGTTACTATTCCATTATTATTATTATTATTATTATTATTATTATTTATTATTATTATTATTATTATTATTATTATTATTATTATTATTATTATTTATATATTATTATTTTATTATTATTATTATATTATTATTTATTATTATTATTATTATTATTATTATTATTATATTATTATTATTATTATTATTTTATCATTAGTTTATTATCATTATCATTCATCATCATCATTATTACTGTTACTATTATCATGATGTGTGTCATCATGATTATGATGGTGATAAT